TCTGCTGACCCTTTAAAAGCAAACAGTTTACAGCACTCAGGAGTTGTTCACAAAATTCATTACTGAGAAGCATTAAAGTCCCAAACTTGTGAGAGAAATCAGGGAGGGATTGCAGCCAATTGTGATTCAGTGACTTAGAGACAACTGGAAATGTGGTGCCAGTGGAACACGAATCCAAGGGGGAGCCACAAGAGCAAATTGTTTGTTTCAGTTGGACAAGTGGTGAGAGCAGAGGAAAACAGTGAAACCTTTACTTTAGAACAGCTTGGAAATTGAACTCTAATTCTGCATTTGTGGCTCAGGTCTCTCCCAAACCTATTTGTCTTTGGAAAGAGCTGAAAAAATGCTATAAAACCCACATTTTTCTAAATAAGGGATGAGCTGGGTTATCTACTCCAGATTTAAACTGCACCTGGTGGAATTGTGCCCCTGCATTATGGGATGCTGAGGGCAGGAGGGGGATCAGGGATGCTCAGCATCCCCAGATAAGCACCCAGAGGTTGAGACAGGATCACAGTGGATCCCAATGTGCCCAATGCTATAAAACCCACATTTTTCTAAATAAGGGATGACCTGGGTTATCTACTCCAGATTCAAACTGCACCTGGTGGAATTGTGCCCCTGCATTATGGGATGCTGAGGGCAGGAGGGGGATCAGGGATGCTGAGCATCCCCAGCTCAGCACCCACAGGGTGAGACAGGATCACAGTGGATCCCGATGTGCTTCCAGCACCTTCTGAGATGTGATAAACACCATGTCCTGCACACAGAGGAGGCTCCGTGGCTGCTCCAGCACAGGCACTGATCTATTGGGCAGCAGAGGGAAGGGAGAGGGGTTTGCCGAGCCCAGAATGTGCCGGGAATGTTAACGAGTCCTCTCACGTCACCATCCTCCCCTCCCTCCCTCCCTGCCTTCCCTTTCATGAGCCAGCCTGAAATCAGGGAATTACATGCTAAGGAAAACCCTTCAGCTAAACATATAATTATTCTGCACAGGATCAGTGCAGCATAGTTAATCAGTTTACCAACTGAATTAATTTTTTTTTTTTTTTTTTTTATGTCTGCATCTCCTGTTGAGGGTGCAGAAATTCTGGATTTAAAGGGGAAAAAATGGCTCGCAGTTGTGAAATGAGTATCTACAGCAGATAATTTATTAGGAGAGAAACCTCCACTGCAGGCTGTTTTGGCAGACAAAGCTGTCAGCCCCCAGGACTTTGAATCACAGCCTCTGTGTGGAGTTATTACAGGTACTTAAGGAATAGCTGGTTTCCCATTTTAATTTTCAGCTGTTCAATAGCACTGCATTCTCTGAAAGTTACAGCAGTATTTCATTGCATTGTGTTTAATTTCATTTCCTCGGACTGCTCTGAAAAGTGAGTGTTTATTTGGACAGAGGTGTCACTTCCCTGTAAATGAGTTCACATTTTAAATGACCTACTTGTAAACTGCTCCCCTCAGGAAGTGCAACATCTCCAATGCTCTGGCTTGTAAAAGTACAGAGAATTCCCCTCAGATTTTGCCTCCAATGGAAACACAAACTCTCACGCTTTTGTTAATTCAGTAAGACATCCTAGCTCCCCTCTGCACCCCAAACCCCCAGACTCTGTACAGGACTCTCAGTGCAGGTTAAAATGGATGGGTTTCGGTTTGGAGTGCTCACTGACAACCTGCAAAGTGTTCCTGAGTTTCGCAGGGAGCTCCTGCACCAAAAAGCCACAAAAATCTCCAGGTAAAGCATTCCAGATGCACATCTTGGAGGGCAGCTTGCCATTTACTCCCATTTAACATGTTAAACCTGATCCAGGGAAAAGTGACCAGTTAGAAACCACTCCGAGCCTGAAGGCACTGGGGAGCTTTATGGGCAATGTTTGTTTTCCAGTGGGGAAATCTGAGCAAGGCAAAGGTTTTTCCTAAAAACCCCTCTCTTTTGGGTCCACAGAACACATCCCCAGGAAAACAGGTAAGTTATGTAAGAAATGGCTGTAACCAGGGAAAACCCCTGAAAACCATTTGGAGATGTTTGAAATGTTGGAAAATTTGGGGGGGAAAAATGAATACTGACTAAAAACTGTTGCTAAAAATACCTCCCCAATTAATGTTGTCAGCTCCTTTGAAACCTTCCCTTTCAACCACAGTGCTGCATCTGCTAAACTTAACAAAATATGTTTGTATAGAGACAAAACTATGCAGAGTTTTAACTTCTAGAGCCTCTGAGAGCCTCAGGAATGAATTTCCCCAGACTTGCATGGCCTTTTCAGGTTGTCCACACCATCAGATGCAGCTCCCTAATTGAATTCCAGTTGAGTGCGCTCCCGAGAAAGGAGCTGGGGATAAATACAAGATGCCAACTTGTCATTACAATGTTCCTTAAAGCCTACCCATTTTTACTTTTTTGGCAAGTAACATTTCCTAAAGGAAAAGAACAGAAGGGTGTCTCCTCTTGGGGGGGCTCAGGCTGCAGCTGCTGCTCTCATGGGATGCTGTAACCAGGACACGTTCTGGGACCTGGGTCTCAAACCATTAACATCATTTTCGTGGCTTCCTTCCATCTTCTCTACAGTTATTTGATGCTTCTGGTACTCACTGCTAGTTAGTTTCAAAGCATGGGCTTTGCTAGCAGATTTTAGGGATAAGTTCTAATGGCTTCGAGGGATATGATAAATGCAAGTTTTAAAAGCACGTTGTTATCATTTCCCTGTGAAATGTCATTTACAATCTCCACAAATAAAACTAATTCTCTACATATTTTTAAGCCCCCCAAAGGTATATTACAGAGGCAATATTTGTTGCATTGTTTATTAACATGTTGCTCTCTACAGTCAAGATAATACCCATTCCTAAAGTGGTAATTTTTTGAAAGTGTCTTTAATTTATCTCTTGATGCTGTGAAAGAAGTGACCTTTCAGAATAGAAGAGCTACATAAAATCTACCTTATCACTGCCAATCACTGCCTGTGCAGCCCTTCAGCCTCCCTGCACATGGATTCAGCACAGTGACTGTAACAAACAGAGCTGAGCTGCACAACACATGGAAATTACAGGCACACAGTGGCCACAGTTGGGCGATTTTTGCAAAGTAAGGTAGTTACAAGTAGTTTTAAACTGACTCTGGTCTGCCATTTGTGTGGGTTAGGTCTTTCCTTTGGCTGCAGATGAACAATGCATCTGCAAAGGGATAAAAAGGAGGCTTGTAATATTAACATGGGGGAAATGGACAAATGTGCAACTTCCCTGTTTGTGGATGTGCAGCTCATGCTACCAAGGAAAATACCAACGTTGTGAATACTTCAATGTTCACTGCATTGTATTTACTGATGCTTGAACACAGAGCACTGACAGTGCTGCCTACTCCAGATATCCCTGTGGATGGTGCACTGTGCAGGCTGGTATGGAAATCCAGATGTCAGGCAACTCCAGGCATGTAAAAACCTGCTGCTTGTGTGACCTTCCTCCACTGCACACCATGGGTTACTGCTCCCCAATATGTCATTATTTTGCATCAGGAAGAATGAAAAAGTAGCAGGAAGTAATTTTAAATTTAGCAACAAGTATTCTACATGCTTTTACACTTAATTCACATTATAATTCAAGTAAGGAGTTAAATTAGCAGAGTGGTCTGTCCACTTTTTAACTCTTTTATGTCCTGGGAATGAAGGTGTGGGTCAGTAAACTCCCCTGCAAATACATTGCGATTTGCTATCACCTAATGACATTGAAGCTGTGTAATCAATTCTATATCTAAAGGTTTAGGATCCATCCCAATGACCTGCTTAAACCCTCCCAATTACCCCGAGTTCCCAAACACCTGAGAAACAAAGTACATCCATTCCCCCAGACACCGTTTGCTTCACAAGACTCTGTGCTTGTAGAGGAATAATTAGCTGATAATGGCAACGTGTCTGATGAGCACCAAAACAGCCCAATTTCAGCGAAGTGTGGAGATGCAGCTCAGCAAAATGAGATCAGACCCATTCCCTTATTAATGAGAATACTTTGAAAGCTTTGAGGGCATTCGAGTGGTCATCCAATTCAACCCTCCCATAGAGTTCAGTCATCACATTACAGGAATCCTTTCCATGGGTAACCTACACCCCAAATTTGCACCTCTTCTCCTTATATAACAGAGATCCCCCGTGGCAGGAATTATTTGTCTCAAAGATAGGCAGCTCATCAGAAGCACTGTACAACAACACTAACGCATCCCACTGTGGGAATACAGTGGGGGGAAATTCTCCGCAGAAATTTAAACCACTTATCATCAGAACGATCCCTCGCCCTCCCATCCATCCCGCTCTGTTTGCAGCACAGCCGAGCATTGTCAGGCAAAACATGTCACAGCTGACGGCTGTGTTGTGAAGCTGCGAATGAGCAGGGAAATCATCATTCCTGTCAAGTTATCCCGGCGAGTTTCCCCGCTCAGCCCTGCGCCTTCGCTGCCGCGGGCGCGGAGCCTCGCACACCGGCTGGGCAGCCTGCACAGGGCAGGACACGTCCCTGGAGGAGCCCGGACAGGGCAGGACACGTCCCTGCAGGAGCCCGGACAGGGCAGGACACGTCCCTGCAGGAGCAGGATGCCTCAGTCCAGCCCCCGGCTCCTGGTGCTCCTTGTGGTACCCAAAACTACAGAGCAGCGCTGCACAGCCACTGCATCACATCACCTGATGTGAGCAAACCAGAGCTAAGCAGGGCAAATTTAAAGCAGCCAAACATGCCGGCGTTACCCTGTGCGAGGCATAATGGAGCCGTGAGACACAAACACTTCGTGTCTGCATTGTCCAACAAATGCAGCTGATCCCGGCTCCGCTGCCGGCAGCAATTCCCAGAGCACGGCGCAGCTCCAGCAGCCTCTCCTCAGCCCTGTCTCCAACAACTACTGGGCAAAAGCAGTGCAGGGATGCTCGGAACTGAATAAACTCTTCCCAAAACAAAGAATGCGAGAGCACGGATGCAAATTGCCAGGATCCCAAGTACAGACAATACACGGCAATAAACGATCCTACCTTTCATCCAATCCACTACTTGCTTGGGCGTCCACTTGCTAATAGGTTCCATAACGAGAGCCATCATCAGATCACTTTATCATTCACACCAAAATCGGGGGAAAAAGGAGAGAAAAATCGTATCAGAGCATGGCTGGGCTACGAGAGCGGTCGGGTTTTACAGTGCAGTTCAAAGAGAAGATGATGCTTTGTCCCTCCAGGTTCCTCCTGCACTGATTCAGTAATGTATAAAATTACACTGCTTGATCAGCTCTGGCACCTCCCCCACTGCACACAGCCTGCAACACCCGGAGCACCGAGCCAGGAAATGGTGCAGTACAGACTTACTTACCACAGCCCGAGCCCGCCGAGCCCGGCGCGGATCAGGCACGGATCGCGCACGGAGCCAGCGATGCTCGCCCCGCTCCGCTCCAGCCGGCCCCGGGATCCTCATCGGGGAAAATGGCACTGCTGGAACTTGATGGCAGATTGTCTCGGCTTCGTTGTGAATATGCTGACTGTCACTCGGCTTAAAGTGAGGAGAGAAACGTCAGGATATCGCCTGGCATCTGGCAAAATGCTGAGCAGCTCCATCTTTACAATGCGAAATGTTGCTGGAGTCTTGTACTGTGTAATCATGTAATTCAGAATGTCAAACACAGTATGAAAAGTCTTACCCAAGAAAAAAACTGCTGGGAGAAAACTCTTTTTTTTTTTTTTTTTTTTTTTTTTTCTGGCCACATTCAGGGCCAGGATATTTCCTCCTATGAGCTGCTCATTTTGTAGGGGAAGAATGACAGCATTGAGGGGGCAATTTGTACTACAGCACTTTAGGATAGACAAGTACAGCAAGTATTTTGACTCCCAGTACTGGGATCATTAGTCAACGTCTCCCTTTTGTTATGAAGGAAAAAAATGTTTTAATTACTCCTAATCCCGAAGTTTACTACCCTTCTGACAGATGAAGGTGAAACATTTCAATGAGACGTGCCAAACAGCACTTTTTGGACCCATTTGTGACTCTCTGCACCTCATGCAGCACAAATTCTGCAGCCTGTGGCTGAGAAGGTGCTGCAGGCTCCAACCTTTTGCCTGGGATCTGCAGCCCCACTATTTTATGTTAAGGGGAGAAACTCAAAGACCAGAAAAAAAGCAGAACAACACAGTCCCACCTTTCCCTTCAGTGATCTTTTCTCTGTGCCTTTTCCTCCTGCACTGCTCCAAGCTTTCCAGCACATCAGGGCAAGAGGATGGTGATGTTCTGCTCCCCTGGGGCCGGGCTGAAGTCCCCAGGCTGAGATCTGTCCTCTCTCTCTCTTATATGGGGGAACATGAAATAGCAATGGAATCTTTATCACAGAGCCCCAGGGTGGTTTGGGTTGGAAGGGACCTTAAAGCCCACCCCATTTCACCCCCTGCCATGGCCAGGGACACTTTCCACTTGCTCCAAGCCCCATCCAGCCTGGCCTTGGGCACTTCCAGGGATCCAGGGGCAGCCACAGCTTTTCTGGGCACCCTCAGAGCCTCCCCACCCTCACAGGGAAGAATTCCTTTCTAAAATCCAATCTTAACCTACTCCCTGGCACTTCATTCTCCACCCTTTCAAGGCTCTTTTTGATATAGTTAAGGATGCAGACAGGCATCCTTCCCCCCACTAAAGCGTCTCCAAAGAGATGTGCCATTCTCAGCTCAGTGATGCACTCCATCCTTTTTTATTTTTCTTTAGCTTTGGGAAATAGTGTGATTAGTATTCTATGATGTATTTGGAGTGCTCAGAGCACAGATCTTCTTTACAAAAGGATTCACATCAATTCTCCTTCAAGAAGGCTGAACAGCATGTCAGCTCCCTCTCTGAGTTTTGGGAGACCACTTTCAGTAGCTTCAGTTCTGTCTAAATAGCTGTTTACAATGGACATCATAATGACAAAGCTCTCAAAGGCACAATACTCTTTTTAGGCAATAGTGGGCTAGAAGTGAGAATAAATATTTCTTTTAGCTATTGGAAACTGCAAGTGGTTTCGGAGCTATTCTTTCTTCAAATTCTTAATTTTTTAATGTTCAATACCAGCATGGAGGTATTTGAGATAAGCTATGTTGTGTATGAACTTGGTATTTTGACATTTTTGACATTTGAACAACAACAAAAAAATCTTCATTCATGATCGTTTGGACTATTTCCCTAATTCCTGTCATTTGACAGACATTCTGTCAATGCCCCTTTGTCTCACATTTCCTACCCAGGCTTGACTGGGCACTTTTTTTAATATATTTGGACATATTTTTGAAAGAGGATGAAGCCTGAATTCAAAGCTCATCAATGTCAATGGGAATAATTCCACTCATTTAAATTGTCCTTGGATGACAAAAGAGGCCTCCAACTATTATTTTGGAATCAGGACCTCCATTTTCACAATGAGAACCTTCTAAATCCTTCATGTCCTGTTACTGAGGCTCCTCCCCCCAATGAAGGTTTGCATTTTCATTTATTCCCAGGGTTATTCACAGTGCTGGCCCAGGCAGGAGCTATAATTTGGCTGAAAGACCCTGGCTGTTAGATTAAACTCCTGTGATTTTCCTTATCATCACCAGCCACAGTTTGCCTGTATTCTGGGATTTTACAACCTTCAGGACAGCCATCTACTTTTTTGTTCTACTTCTTGGAATGAAATATTCAAAGCTGTTAAAAAAGCTCAGTTTCTCTCTTTCCTGATGATTTATTCAGGTTCATTCTCTGTTGCAAAGATCAGTGCACACGGCCCTGGTTTGTCACGCATCATTCCAACCCCAGGGAAACGTTCCTTCATCCATTCCCAGGGGTGTGTTCAGTGTGATGGTTCTACCTGGGGATTTCCTCTGCTTCTTCTTTTGTTGTTTCCAGAAAGATTTATTCCTCACACCCACGGGAATGTCACAGGAACATGGCAAGATCGGAGAGGAGCCTGTGGCAGGCCAAGGGACTCAGTGATGGATCCAGCTGAGCACCAGAAAGGCCAAACGGAGCCCAGACTGTTTCTGGAGCCACGGTTCAAGTCAGCTCAGAGCACTTTTTGATACAGGTTGTCACTCTGCCGTCTGAGGTAATGACTCTGGAATGAGAAATCATGGAATTCACCCCTGCACTGAGCTGTCACCTCACCCTGATGGGTTCCATCACCACTCCTGTCAGCCATGGGTCACTGCAGTGGGATCAAGTGGGTAAAGCCACTAAACAAAGAAATTTTTTAAAAAATAAGCAAAACTGCAATCCATAAAGCTGTGCCATGTGTTTTTCTGCCTGTTTATTGCAGGGCTTCTGCCTAGATCTATCCCCCACCCTACCTAGCACTGCTTCCTAATGCCAACATAAAAGCAACAATGCATTCCCATGACTGTGTTTTTCTTCCAGGCTGAATGTAGCAAATCAAGAGAAAAAAGATCAAGGAACATCTTTCTCACTATTATTCTATCTAGGTCATGTAAATGAGAAATACTTTCTGACTGAAGTCTGCATAAGCATTGGAGCAAAGGGAGGCATTTGAAAGGGAGAAAGGAAGCAGAGCTTTCACTATGAGGCAGCGTTGTTGTCAAAGGCCTATATAAAATAATCTGGTAATTCCAGCCCATAATCATCGCTGCTGCCTTTGACAGCAAGGGCCTAAGGCTGAACAGACTGGTGGAAAGGTTTGGAGTCTCTCCTTCTTGCCTCCAATAATGCTGAGAGTGCTGTAGCTTTTCAGCACTGCCTGGTATCTCTGGGATTGCTAATTAAACCATCAGTCTCTGTATTTTCATGGTCACTGTGGGAGGCAGTTAAATGTTCTTGTGTATTTCATGGCCAGTGATAACTTTCCAATTAAGGATTATGTTCAAATCTGGTACCATAGCCACTCTAACACTTAGAACAATCATGTATTTCTCGCAGTTTTCATTTGGTAACAATTATTCTCATCTTCTTTGATGAAGAAATAACTTGCATGTTGTGAAATAAGTCCTTTAGGAGAGGGTTAGTTTAATAAAGCCTTGACATGGCATTTGATGTCCATTATGGAAAAACAAGAACATGCAGTTCCAGATTAAATAAGTCATGAATGCCTTGGAAAAGTGGTATGTAATGTTATAACTTAGGACATCTATAATTTATATTATTAATGGAAAAGTAAGCAAAATCTCCAAGGAAATGACTGTTGAACTCTGTTATCACTAAAGCTTTTTATCATGTAACATTCTCATATTATACAGCTGTTTTTATGGAAAAGAACATATTCTTAAAAATCAGGATGGAGCTAAACTGTTTGTTTTGGTCAGTTCTGTTCCAGGCCAGGTTCTGCCTGATGTTGCCTCCAACCCTTGAGACACTTGTTGAGAGATGGCAAGGAAAATGCCTGTGGTGAAGTTGCATGAGAGCAATAAATGTGCTGGGAGGAACAAAACCCAGCTTAGTTTGGGATAGGGATTGACAGATTCTCCTATTTAGGGCTAAACCTCAGCCTTACTTAACCCTGGCTTTACAAACTGAGGGGCTGGGCTCTGTTCTCACAGAGCTGGGGGAGGCTCCTGTGCTCTGGGAATAATTCCACTCATTCAAACTGTCCTTGGATGACAAAGGAGGCCTCCAACTATTATTTTGGAATCAGGACTTCCATTTTCACAATGAGAACGTTCTCACTGGGGGTGGGCTGTGAGGAAAGGGTTTGGATCACTCCCAGCTCCCAGAGAGGGTCAGTGGGTAGGTTCCCCATGATCCATCAGTGTTTATTTCAGATCCCAGGACATCCTGAGCTGGAAGGGACAAGGATCAAGCCCAACCCTTCAGTGAACATCCAGGGATGGAATCACAGCCGTGGTGCTCTCAGCACCATGCTCCGACAAACAAAGCCAATCTCTTGGGTGGCTTTAGGGTGCATTGCTGTGCCCAGAGCAGCTGTGGCTGCCCCTGGATCCCTGGCAGTGCCCCAGGCCAGGCTGGACATTGGGGTTTGGAGCAGCCTGGGACAGTGGAGGTGTCCCTGCCATGGCAGGGTGGCACTGGGTGGGCTTTGAGCTCCCTTCAGACCCACGGCACCCCAGGATGCCGCGGTTCCCCAGCACCCCCGCAGCCGAGGCTCCTTTGCCGAGGGTCCCTGGCCCAGGGGAGGCACCAGCCCGACCTGGGTGCGATTCTGGTGCCTGCGGTCCCTGCAGTCCTTGCTGGAGCCCCGGGATGGGCAGGATGCTGTTCCACATTCTGGAGTGCCATCTGCTGGCTCCGCACCCGCCGGCAGCTCCGGCAGCTCCCTCTTAATAAACCCCGCTTAATTAATTAATTAATTGCATTTCAT